TATTCACTTTCAACCAAAATTCAATATCTAAACCATATAAATCAGAAGTCTAGAGTAGATTGCATTTAACCGGTTTATTTGTATCCTAAATAAGCCAAAACCAGAACTGGTTTAATAGTAATACTAAACCTAGCCAACAGCTCACAGAAACCAAGATGTCGCTATAGAGTGAAAAAAATCGAAGAAGAAACTCAATAGCTCGTAGATCTACTAAATTTTTTTCAAAACAACGTAGATCTAGTAACTACTAACACACATCTTCACACACAAACATCATCAAGCTCAAATAACCGGATTTGAAACATGTATAAGAAGAACAGAGAAGAAATAGTTACCTCAAGAGGGAAAAACAAATTGTGGATGAAAAATTGAAGCTCAAGAAGACGAGAGTATCGGATATTTTGGAGAATAAGTTTACGAAACTGTAAAAGATGAATAGCAAGCTCGATGTCGAAGCCTCTAACAAGTTTACGAAGCCTCTAACATGTTAGATTTGGTTGAAAGTGAATACGTGACTCTTTCGCTTGTTGGAGATGTTCCATGGGAGTAAGCTTCCTCTCTTAGATTCAAAACTTGTTAGAAGCTTTCTCTACTCTCTGCCAGATATCTTAGAATCAAATCTAACATGCTATAGAAGATTAAATCATGGTGATTGGTATAAGCGCTCCTGAGTGATTTCTGATCCAATGTATATTACAGGATGTTTATTGATGTCTGCAAGAAGCTGAAGATAATGAAAGGATGTGATGCTATTGGGTTAGGTAAAGTCGGTAAAGTCTTTTCTTCTCTCTGCTCCTAAGAGACAGACCATGGCCGAGCCAAAACCGAAGCTTCATGTTGCAGTGTTCTCATGGTTAGCTTTTTGGATTCTGGAATTTTCAGGGCACAAATTGTGGGTTGGCCTCCTGTGAGATCCTATAGGAAGAACACATTGGCCACCACTTGTAAGAATAGTGATGAAGTTGATGGGAGGCCAGGTCCTGGGACCATGTTCGTAAAGGTCAGTATGGATGGTGCTCCTTGTCTGAGGAAAGTTGACCTGAGGAGCTACGCTAACTACGGGGAGCTTTCTTCAGCCTTGGAGAAAATGTTCACCACTCTCACTCTAGGTGAGATGTTTCAGTGATTGCTAGTGATGTGTTTGCAAAGCTCTTTCTCTTTATGGATCAATGAATGAGTGCAATCAAAGTGGTTAACCTGCACTGTTTGTTTCATGTTTAGGTCAATGTGGATCTAATGGAGCTGCTGGGAAGGATATGCTTAGTGAGACCAAGCTTAAGGATCTTTTGAATGGAAAAGACTATGTGCTCACTTATGAGGATAAGGATGGGGACTGGATGCTTGTTGGAGATGTTCCATGGGAGTAAGTTTTCTCTCTTATATTCAAAACTTGTTAGAAGCTTTCTCTATACTCTACCAGATATCTTAGAATCAAATCTAACATGCTATGGAAGATTAAATCATGGTGATTGGTATAAGCGCTCCTGAGTGATTTCTAATCCAATGTATATTACAGGATGTTTATTGATGTCTGCAAGAAGCTGAAGATAATGAAAGGATGTGATGCTATTGGGTTAGGTAAAGTCTTTTCTTCTCTCTGCTCCTAAGATACAACGTAAACTACTATCTCTAAAACCCATTGCAAGTAGGTTTATGATGAGATTAGTGGTTTGTTGGTGTGAGTTACTTGTAGCTGATTTAGAAAGTTCAATTCATATTTGATCACTTGTCTTCTTTTGGGAGTAAAGACGATAAATTAACATGTAAATATAACGTAATTAAACTGACATAAATAATAGTCGTTATTAGGAGTTTGGTATGGACTTTGAATCTAAAATGTCTTAATGATTCAATGTGGTGAACTGGTGATATTGCAGCTGCAGCTCCGAGAGCAATGGAGAAATCGAAGATGAGAGCTTAAAAGATGGAACATGACAAAGCTTTCTAATTATACAAAATATGTGCGATCTTTTGGTGGTGTTTTTAAATTTCAAAACATCAATATCTTTTAAGTTTCTGAGATTTTAAAAAGAAGTAAGTAAGACTACGAATGTAAGGAAATGAAGAAGAATTAAAAATGATCTTATTTTTGTTGTTGTTTGTTGCTTTAGTCGAACCAGTAAACTGGTCGTTGTTTTATGTTTTGGGTTTGATTTGGATGTGTGGTTGACTTCTATCTTTGAGATATTATTTGATGTAACTCTCTTTTTTTTTTCTTCTTTTGCTTCCCTTTGCTTCTTCTCGAGTAGTGAAGGTAGACAATCCGATTTTACGATTTGGCTTTGGCTTGGATTTGTTTGTAAGGTTTTTTCTTTCGGTTTGTAAAATCTAAACTCAAATAAAACCATTTAAATTTGCTTTGGATTTTAAAAAATTTCGTTTTATCCGGTTTGGTTTAAAGTCTAAAAAAACTAACTTACAACTATACTAAAACAATAAATTTACTCTAGATTCCAATGTGGGTATGCAGCATGTTGCTGGGATTGTCTTTGACAGTGAACGCAATATGTCTTTA